CTAGTACATCTAGTATAGTCCCCGACCCTCAGACATGAGGATGGGACTAGGTAAAAGGTAAAGGTACATCTAGAATTAGGATATGACAGACTGAGTACTTTCTCAGGTCTTTTGGTTATTTGCATTCAGTCTAGAAGTAGAACAAAATAATTTGAGCTAGCCTTCTCAGGTGGCTCAGGCCAACCTTCTTAGGTCATTCAACTGACCCCAATTCCCCCTATGGGTCAACGTCTGAGGGGCAACATTTTGTTTTGTTAGAGGGCCTCTGTTGGTAAAGGAACGCTGGAAAAAATAACTGATTTGAGGACACAGACTATAAGCAGACTACTAGTACTTCTATATATGGCAAGTTTAATTCATGCAACTTAATCATTGCATATCAAGCCTTCAAATGGCCCAGTGGCCTCTGGTGGCCTCTCTTTGACTAAGTCCACCAATGGAGATGCCAGACACCAATGCAACACAATCTCTCCTGAGATGCCAAATGCTTCAATCCCCAAGACTGAGAGCAGAGTTCTACACCTCCATGGTTGGGCAGAGACATCTTGTATCTCATATGACATAGTTGACAAGATCAGTGAAAAGAGATTATTATATTCTAAGGGCTGAGTTCTGGCACCCAGGATATTTCTAGAGCATCTAGAGATATCTGCATGTTTGATGATGACTGTTCTGCAGTTATGTTTTTATATCCAAACAAACTACATTGACTACTAGTATCAAGTTGCAGGTGGGTCTGCCTAAATACCTAATAATGAGTCAACTGCTATAAAACACGTCTTCTCTTTCTGTATGACCTATAAATGTAATTCTGTCAACTTGGGGGTTGTCACAGCTGGGTTTGGTAGGGTAGCCTGACTCCCTGTGCTGGGAGAGCTCCAATGAGGGTTAGTGTTACACAGGGACAGGACACCTGTCATCAAGGTACTTAGCAGGCACATACATACCATGCATGCATGTACATGTGTGCCAGATTTGATAGGAGCCAGGTGTGACTAATGAAGATTTTCTAGGAGTGTGGGCCAGCCTTAAGGATTTGTTTGTTTTAACAATCGTGGGTGGGACCATAACTAATCAATGCTCAAGCCAGTAGCAATCTAAGCACCCACAAGGGCAGAATCCACTACACAAGCATCAGCCCAGAGTGTAGTTTCAAGTAAACTTTTAGGTACACTCTGGATGCACAATGTATCACATCTAAACGATTCCTTTTCTTTACTGCTACATAATATTTATGATACCTGATGATGAGCTTTGCTCCTAAGAGGAGTGGTTGCCTTTGAGATGAATCCGTGTTGCATGTACTAGAAACTAAGGCCCGGTTCACACGTGCATCGTTTTTATGTGTTGGGCGTCATTTGACGCGTGCACGACCTGTACAACACATTTTTCAAGCGTGTAAACAGGCCCCCACCGCCGCGCAGCGCCTTGCGACATTTTATCTGTGGCACCTTCAGGAGGTGCCACAAGTGCATCACGACACACAGCGGGGAGTCTGCGGCACGGAAAACATCATGTAATTATAAACAGACCTGCGTTGCGCGCAGCCCATTAACAGCGTCAAAGTAGGTCATGGGTCATATGCAAATTTTTGTATCAATTTCTACTTGTTGTTAATTGTTTCCTCGAATTATTTTGTACGGATTGTTTGCTAGCACTCAGCATTACTGATTGTTTGCTGAGCATGGCGGAAGTCAACAGCTCTAACTGAAGCAGCGCTGAAACACGCTGTTTGATCTGGATGTGTACCTGCGACAGAATTTTCTGTAATTGTGGCTACACTGGAAAGCTGCCCGTTGGATATCGTGGTTCCGATCCCTATGATATGAGAGACCCCAAGCCGTCTTCTGCGCCATGCCCGGCACTGCAAGTACGCGCGAGAGAAGAAGAAAATCATCATTTGT